GTGTGGGTGAAGAGGACACGTACCTGGTGGAGGTGGAGGTCGGCATTGGTGTTGACATCATCACTCGCTGGTAGTCAAGTTGTCTGGTTACTTTCATTGCTGTAGTTGTAGGCTAGGCTGTAGAGTAGATAGGGCGCCTGGCGCCATTCACAAGAGAGAGCTACATTTGGGTTATGCTCTTGGTGTTGCTCTGGTGTTGCCCTGTTGGGCATGGACATTGACTCACGATTCTTCTGCATCATTCTCAATTGGATGGTTACTCGGACATTGACTCACGATTCTTCTGTATCATTCTCAATTGGATGGTTACTCGGTTCCATGGTGCTATCTGCTTTGGCTTGGACTACTTGGACTTCAGTGTGATTTTGCATTCTGGATTTCTGTGCTTCGTCCATGTTCATGTTCCTTGCAATCGAAATTCTTTACCAAATTTAAAATGAAAATTTGAAAAATAAAATTGAACTATAACTTAATTTTTATTTTTTATTTTTTATTTTTTATTTTTTATTTTTTATTTTTATTTTTTATTTTTATTTTTACTTTTTGGCCCGGCCGGGCAACTGGTCCCGGGCCACTCTGGTAGCCTAATAATATTACTATATTCAGCATACGGCTATAAGCAATTTTTAAGATCACCATCCTTGCAATAAAAATCAGTTGAAAAAAGGAATCCAATTACAGACATGCTCCCTATTAGCATCGCAGCACAAGTCAATGGTAACAAAGAAGGTGGGTGCATTCCCGGATCATCAAGTCCAGTCACTCCAGTGTCATGTGGCTACTTCGTCCTGCTCCTCCACAGCTGCATATGGCTGCTTCATCCCGCTCCTCCCCAGCCACTGGCTCCTCATCCAACTCTTCTCCGATTGCACCCTCCTCCGTTGACTTGCCTTTTAAGTTTTAGAAGTATGCGGTCCCACGTAGTGGACCTATAATGCCAAACCGTTGTGATGTTTTTTTTGAAACTTAAAAAAAAAAAAAAAAAAAAAAAAAAAGGGCGACGGCCTTGAGATATCATAATTAAGCTGACCGGCCCCAGGTAATTCAGAAATAGTTGTTTTACAACGTTTACTCATCAACTTCCATCATCCGGATTCGAACACGGGTCTGTATTTTCAACAGTTCATGGATGTACCCACTGAGCTAGGCTCTTGGGTTTTTGAAACTTTTTCTCTTCTTCTTCTTTTCCCATCTTGCATTGGGCCATTACGCAATCATAACCAGAATCCTCTTCCCTTTTTTTTCTTTTTTTTTTTACTTTTCCAAAACAGAATCCCTCATTTAAGGTGCTGATGAGCTTTTCAAAAGCTGGAACCAGCTTCTGCAAAAGGCTTGTCCAAGAGTCTGTTTTTTTTTTTGTTTTTTTTTTTTCCTCCCCCCCCCGACCAGCCGTTT